GATAGAATCTGTTCCTTGCCTCTTCCAGCTTCTGGTAGTTGCTCGCATTCCTTGCCTTGTGGCTGCATCACTCCAATCTCTGCCTCTGTCTTCACATGGCCTTCTCTTCTGTGTCTGTGTCAAATCTCCCTCTGCTTTCCTCTTATAAGGATACACGTGATGGCATTTAGGGCCTACCCAGATAACCCAGGATAATCTCCCTATCTCAAGATCCTTAACTACATCTGCAAAAACTCTTTTTCTAGATAAGGTAACATTTATAGGTTCCAGGGATTAGGACCTCATATCTTGGGAGGCCATAATTCTGTCTACCACACCACTTAAGTAATTTTCCTGTAAGAACATAAGATATGACTTATTCTTTTAAAAGAATTTTAAAGAATTTTTTCTCTCTGAGGAAAAAAAGGTAACTATGTGAGATGATGGATGTATTAATTAACTTGATTGTGGTAATCATTTCACAACATATACATATATTAAATCATCATGTTGCACACTTTAAATATATACAATTTTATTTGTCAAAAATATTTGTAGCTTGTTCCTATACAAATAAGTAAATAAATAAAAGATCTCTTTGGCTGAGTGGGCTCTAGGGAGCAAAGCAGAAGCAATACGTCCAGTGAGGAGGCTGCTATAGTAACCAGATGAGAGATGACTAAGGCTTGAGAAGTAAAATTATACATTATATATCTGTTGCAGTTATGATCAGCTAATGAGGAGGTTGTATAGTATTTAAGAGGGAGGACTCAGGAGTCAGACTTTCTGTTCAAACCTAATTATACCACTTGCAAGCTTTGTGACTTTGGGCAAGTTACTCAACTAAGCTGTTTCTTCCTCTACCAAGTGACCCTTACAGAACTGCTATGAGCATTCGAAGAGATAAAAATGTGTAAAACACTCTGCTTGATAGAGTACAGCACCTGACACACAGTAAGACCTCAATAAATGTTAGCTATAGTTATTTTTATCTGTTCCTGACATTGCACATTTTCTATTATATAATTTTATGCCATATATTTTGGTTCCCAAAATAAGTGAAGATATAACTAAAAGGATTCAGTAACTAAACAAGTAGAGACTTTTTTGCACTTCATTATAAAGGAGTCACTGATGTTACATGGTGTAATTATATCATCACCATTTTAAATTTTATATATGATCACAATATTTTAGAAATTTATCTTGACAAATTCTTTCACTTCTAGATAACCAGAAGTTCAAGTCAAATACTGAAATCTAACATCTAAGATTTCAATTTAATATATTGTGGAAAAGAATTCAAACTTAATAAAGACCACAGAAAAAATTTATTTCTTTTTCAAAAGATACCCTAGGATTAAATCACATAACAGATATATCATAACAACTATATTTAAAAGTGTCTAGGGAATTTAAATTGGAGGTCAGAATATTTCCTTTCTGGATTCTTATTTAAATTTAACCTTGAGATGAGTGACCTAATTGCATTATCATTCATTGTCCACTGCAGATAAAATTTAGAAAGCAAACTATAGAAATACTATGGATTAGCTCAGTTCTAATCCTAACTCTGTTTCTGCCATTTCATTTTTAACCTTAAATTCCTTCATCTCTAGAAAATAGCAACCTACTTAGAAACCATTTTGCAGTTAACTGTAAGGATGAAACACAAATGCTGTAAAACAAAAATAAAAATATCACTGATGAAAGTTTTATAATACACAAGGCCATAAAAATCTCCATCATCACTTTACCTGATGTTCTTTCTAAAAGCTGCTTGTACTACTGTTATAAATGTGGTAAGAATCTTGGGAATGATTAGCTTCTTACATAAAATATTTATTGTTCACATCTTTAAATCTCTGAAAGTAAATCATTCATAGATTAGTATCAGTAAGTACTCAGACTATTTTTCCCCATGGATTTAATAAACTATCAACCAAGATACCAAGATACAAAACCAGCAGAACCATATGGATGCTCAAGCCAGAATCTGCAAGCCACCTCTCACTTCCCCACATCCAATCCATTATGAAGGTCTCTTCATTCTACCTCAATGGATGTATCTCAGATATATCCACCACTCTCTACTGTCCTAATCAGCTGTCCTAATCCAAGTCACCTTCAAATATCATGAGGACTACTGCTGCAGCTTCCTAATTCTCCCACTCCAATCTACTCTGCACACAGTTATCAAAATGATCACTGTAAAACGTAAAGGGGATAAGTCACTTCCCTGCTTAAAGCCTTCAAATGGCCTTCCACTGTCCCGAGAAAGAACAAGTTTCGCATGCGCTGTCACCGACCATCTCTCCAACCTCTCTTCAAGTCACACCCCACCCCTACCCACTGGATTCCAACCGTACATGATTCTTAGTTCCACCAAGCTCCTTCATCTTAGGGCGATCTCCTGCTCTCTCTGCCTGGATCACTCATTCTTGACTCTTCAAAAGGTTGCTCCCTCCTATCCCTTCAGTTTTCAGCTCCTCAAAGAGGCTTTCCTTGACCTCCCAATGCACAGTGGGCACCCCTGTCACTGCATCCTGTTCTTTACACTCATTCACTTGTTTAATGTCTGTTTCCCCACTCTGGACTGTAACATCCTTGAGGGCAAGTTCTCTGTTTTGTTCACCTCTATTTTCTCAGTGCTTAGAACAGTGCCTGGCACATGGTACATATTTATGAATGAATGAGAATGCCATTATTACTAAAGGCTCACTTGTATTACAAGATTGCTCTTTTATAAAATCAACTAAGAAATTATGGCCATGGAAAAAGTGAATAAAGTGGCTATGTGCGATTTTTCTCATGGTTTTATCACTTGAAAGTAACCACTCACTGAAGCAAGGCAGAATAGAAGAATGTGCTAACGATGAGTACCAATAAATCTTAACAATATCCGAACACAGTGATTTAAAAATGATTTGCACATAAACATAGGTTTTATAATTTGGCATGGGTTGCTTAAATGTTTAGCTGCCTACATTATATAGTAAACCCTCTATAAAAGTCATTATTATTGCCCCTATAAAGTCTTTCCCATTTGCTTAATAAAAAAATCAGCATTTTTACATCAAGTCAGAATCACACAATTAAATACTCTCCTATGCTTGTTGTTTTCCATAGTCTTTAGGCCTTCCTGACACAGATTCTAATCTAGGACAGTCTTCTACCTTTTTTGTGCCTTTATTAGTACAGGGCAAGGTAAATGAGAGTCCTAAATAAACAGCTGCTTGTTGATTAACTAGAGAAATGAATGAAATAATTCAGCAATAAATAAAAGATTTCTTAATACATATTCATTAGTATACATTTTCTTTATATCCATTTATTCAGTTAATCTTCTGCATTATGGATTAATTTTAATTACTTTAAAAGCTTATTAAAATCATACCTTCTGTAACTCAGTTATATATTTTCAGCAGATACATTTGATTCTTTGTATAAATATCCTCTATATATGAATGTATAATATTCTTTATACGTTCCTATGAAATTAAGATTTTTTGGGAGTTATTATTTAATTGACTTTACTGTAAAATCATTACAAAAAGGATTTTTTCAAAATAATTTAGAGACTTCTAAAGGTCAATACTCTCTATCCTTCATCTTTTATTCTTGCTGTATGAAACTCTGGACATTCAGCATGTTGTCTGTGGACCAGATTTAGCCTTCTCAACACAGAGTGTATAGAATGCTCAATATTTTTAGCTTTAACTCTAATTTACTTACATACAATAACTCCTTAGTCAAGAGAACCTAACCACCTGTTCCCTTCTACTGTTGTGGCACTTCCAGGTGTCATGCTATCAAGCAGTTAATATCACTGAAGTTGAATGTGAAATTAACCCTGGACTGTGGCATTGAAACTGGACTTAATTCCATTGAAACTATGGCATGATTCTGGGAAAAACAGATATGAAAAAGCTTGATTCACTTTTGAATCACATGCAATGCCAAAAGAAATATCTCAATTCATCATTGTAACCAATAAAAAAATTCATACTGCCTGCATAGAAATGTGGGCATCTAGTAAAAATGACGTGGTATTTTTAGATTTTTAGATTAGACATCCCTAATCTAAATCACAGTAACTGGAACCATGCTACATATGCCTAAAAATAAAACCTCAAGACACACTAATAATTATTGTATTTTAAACACATATAAATTAATTTAAAAATTATGGAAAAGTTACAATCAAACAAAAAGTCAAAGCAAAGTATACAAAACTCACTATTAGCAAACACGATCCCCATTAGTATGTGACCTCCCTGACTTCATTCGAAGGTAAGCTCCCTGAGGACACAGAGACTGTTGTCTGTTTTGTTCATTCACGTTCTTACAAAGAACAGCACTTTGCACACAGGTACAAATAAATAATAAATATTATGTACTAAATACTTAATATATATATTAATAATAAATATTATGTACTAAATATTTAATATATATATTAATAATAAATATTAAATAGAGGAAAGAATGTTCTTGTAGATCAAATATTTTTGTTTATGGAAGGAAAACTAATTCTGAAGAATTTAGGAAGCAATAAAATAAATATAAAACTAAAATTGTGATGGCCACAATTCAGTTTTTATTTGATGATTCTTTAGAAGTCACCACAGGGTCATTATTAGGAATATCAGTTAAATTATATTATCAATGTTGTAGAATACTATTAATATAGATTTAAGTCAACAGAATACCAAATAAGATAGCTATGATTTTGTAAGACTAATTAAGATTTTGTTTTGAGCTACTGAAAAGCTAATGAAATGTCTCGACTGAGAAAATGACTACAGAAATCTTTACAACTTAAGATCTGGATTTCTCCATTTCCATCAGCCAATTTCCCTAGTTTCATCTTAATTCAAAATGTGGATCATAATACTTCCTCCACTCAATGATTAGATACAAAAGATCAGCCATCAAAAGCTCTGAAATTTTCTCCTGACACTGACAATATGCTACGAGAAAAAAATGGTAAACTCAAATCTCATTTTGCACTGACTTACTCTAACTTTCGGCAACACTCTCCGAAGCGTCTCAGCAGGATTCTGTCGCATCAAAAATGGAAGATTTGCGATCACACTTGTTCCTTGGATATCTTGACCAGCACTTATGAAGAAAACAGAAATTTAAAATTTGTGATTATAAGCTGAATTCCTGGTTTACAATTATAAAAAGCAGGGTTTAACTTGAAAATGAGTACTTTTAATTATAAACACTCAGACTTCTGATAAAGTTGTAAACACATCATCTAGATATAAAAATAAAACCAGAACTGAAATTTCATTAAGTAAATCTTATAACAAATGCATAAGAATATTAATTATGCTTATGCTAAAACAAGATTCTCTATCTACATACATAACTTAAGTCTAAAAGTCTTGAAGACTATTATTAAATACCTTAAAATTCTACCTTATTTTTTCCTGTGACCTACCAGTTTGCTGTACTTTATAAAAAATATAAATGGTAAAATTTCATTATGGTAAAATATTAATAATCATAACAACAGTAGGAACAGCAACAAAATCAACTATAGCAGAATCATATAACTTTCTTTCAGTACAGTGAAATTACCTGTTGGACTAGACTGACTCTGAGTTGCCAGAAACTTCTTAAAGATCTACTCAATATTCTTAAAGGTCAGTAGGGTATACTTATACAGTACCTTTTTGACATAACATTCATTAGGTCAGGAAGGCTTTACCAAAATAATCTCACTGAAATAGAAATCTCGTGGCCTAATATACCTTAGAAAAGGTGTCCAGATTCTTCTGAAAAACCATTTCCATGCAAAAAAAATTCTTTGTTTTTAAAACATAAGCTAAGTGATATAAGTTGTACAAGTACTTGAGATATATATATGATGCTAGTAAATGTGGCACCACCTCAGAGGGAAATTCCACCTATTATTAACTGATACCAATTTAAATGTTAATTGCTGATGCCATAATATTTATTTATCTTAATTAAAATTATTTTTACTCAGCTCTTCAAATGGAACTATTTGTTATTATATGTACGTAAGATCATAGCATTGTTCTTTAAAAAGTTTTTTAAAGTATTACATATTTGCTTCAGAGTTTTACAAGTTCTGTTAATAAGAAGCATAGTCTTACTCTAAATGAGGCTACCCGGCTGTGAAGAAAGGGCTTTTTCCCCGTTGCAATATGGTAGGCTGGAACTACAGGTCAGCACAATCATTACTCTATTCTCACCACTCTCTAAGTGAATTCTTTAAAAGAAAAAATCAAGAAGAAAAGAAGAAGGGACTGAAATAGAGGACCTATGCCAAGAAGTGGAGAAGATCAAAAAAGGGAAATTAAGGTTGCATGCAAAAATACTACCTGTAGTGGGTTTAATGGTGGCCCCCCATAAAATATGTCTACACCCTAATCCTAGAACCTGTGAATGCTGTCTTAATTTGGAACAGGATCTTGAGATGAAGAGATCATCCTGGATTATCCAAGTAGGCTATGAACCCAATAACAAGTGTCCTTAAAAGACACTCAGGGGAGAAGACAGACAGAACAGAAGGCAGTCTGACCACAGAGCAGAGACCAGAGCGATGCTGCCACAAGTCAGAGAAGGCTGACAACCACTAGAAGCTGGAAAAGGCAAAGAACAGATTCTCCTCTAGAGCCCTGCTGACACCTTGATTTCAACTCAGTGATACTGATTTCAGACTTCTGGCCTCCAGAACTGTGAGAGAATAAATTTCTGTTGTTTTAAGCCATCCAGTTTGTGGTAATTTGCTACAGCAGCCACAGGAAACAAATACACTACTAAAGAACTGAGAGAGAGAAGAAATATCTGAAAAAGTAATATTTCACATGACAACGCCTGCCTTAAAGTAAAGGTTAAGTAAACGTCTCTTAAAAGGATGGATGAATGAATGGCTCACTGGATGAACTGATGTCAAGAATATTTAATATTGAACATTTGGTGAATTTTATTCATTAACTTCACAATTAGGGAAAAAAACAATATGATTTCTAATACCTCATAGATGTGAAGATAAAACATGACATGAAAGAAACAAAAAAAGAACAGAAAACAAAAAATAAATTGGCAGATTTAAGCCCCAAAATATCAATAATTTCATTAAATATAAATGGTCTAAATACATCAATTAAAAGACAGAGATTGGTGGAGTGGATTAAAAAACATGACTCAACTAAATGCAGCCTACAAGAAATTAATTTCAAATATAACAATATCAGCAGGTTGAAAGTAAAGGACAGAAAATAATATATCATAGAAACGTGAATCAAAAGAAAGTAGGAGTGGCTATATTGGTACTAGATAGAGTAGACTTCAGAGAAAAGAAAATCACAAAAGACAGACCAGGACATTATATAGTGATAGAAGAGGCAATCCACCAAGAAGACACAACAATCCTAAATGTGTATATACCAAACAGAGTTGCAAAATATGTGAAGCAAAAACTAACAAAACTCAAAGGAGAAATAGACAAATACACAGGTAGATGGAGATTTCCACACCCCTCTCTCAACAATTAATGGAACAACTAGATAGAAAATCTTCAAGGATATAGAGGAAGTCAACAACACCATCAACCAACAAGATCTAATCGACATTCATAGAACACTCCATCCAACAACAGCAGAATACACATTCTTTTCAAGTGCCCAAAGAACATATATCAAGAAAGACCATATCTTGGGGCATAAAACAAGCCTCAAAAATTTTTTAAAAATTGAAATAATACACAGAGTTTTCTCTGACCACAATGGAATCAGTAATAGAAAGGTAACAGAAAAATCTCCAAATTCTTGGAAACTAAATAACACAATTCCACATAATCCATGAGTCAAAGAGGAAGTCCCAAGGAAAATTAAAAAAATACATTGAACTGAATGAAAATGAAAATACAACATATCAAACTTTGTGGGACACACAGCTTAAGCAGTGCAGAGAAAGAAATTTATAACACTAAAGCATACATTAGAAAAGAGGAAAAATCTCAAATCAATAATCTAACTTTCCACCTCAAGAACCTAGAAGAACAAAATAATCAAAACACAAGCAGAGGAAGGAAATTATATAATAGAGAGCAGAAATTAATGAAATAGAAACATAAATAATAGAGAAAATAAATGAAACAAAGACCTGGTTCTTTTAAAGGATGCATAAAACTGACTAACCTCTAGCAAAACTGACAAAGAAAAAATGAGAGAAGACATAAATTACCAATATCAGGATTGAAACAGGGTATACCACTACAGACCCTGCAGACATCAAAAGGATAATAAGAGAATGCTATGAATAATTCTACACACATAAATTTGACAACTTAGACAAAATGGACCAATTCCTCACAAAACACAAACTGCCACAACTCACCCAATTCGAAATGCATCATTTGAATAGTCCTACAACTATTAAGATTATTAAGAAAACTGAATTCATATTTTAAAATGCCTAAAAAAAACTCCAGGCCCAGACAGTTTCACTGAATAATTATACCAAACATTTAATGAGGAATTAATACTATTCTACACAATCTCTTCCAGAAAACAGAAGAGAAGGGAACACTTCCTAAATCACTTTATGAAGCTGATATTGCATCGATACCAAAACCAGGCAAAGACAAAAGAAAATCTACAGAACAATATCGCTCATGAATATAGATGCAAAAATCCTTAACAAAATATTAGCAAATAAAATACAGTAATACATAAAAGGAAGAATTATCCACCATGATCAAAGGGGGTTTAGCCCAGGGATGCAAGGCTGTTTCAATATTCGAAATCAGTGTAATCCATCATATTAACAGTTAAAGAATAAAAATATCACATGATCATATCAATCAATGCAGAAAAAACATTTGACAAATTTCAACGCAAACACTGAAATTAAAAATACAATATCTTTTACAATTACTCAAAAAAAATGAAATACTAACAAAAGTAAAGGACTCATATGCTGAAAAGTACACAATGCTAATAAAAGAAATCAAAGGAGATCTAAATAATTAGAGAGACAGACTTTGGTTACAGATTTGGAAATTCAGCGTAGTCAAGATGTCAATTCTCCCAAATCGTTATATAGGTTTAACACAATGCCTATCAAAATCCCAATAAGATTTTGTAGAGACATAGACAGTATTTTTCTAAAATTTACATGGAAAGGCAACAAAGCTAGAATAGCTAAAACAATTTTGAAAAAGAAGAATAAAGTCAGAAAAATATGTCTACTCAATTTTAAGACTTATTATATAGCCACAGTAACCAAGACTGCATGGTATTGGCAGAGGGACAGACACATAAATCAATGGAACAGAAAAGAGAACCCAGAAATAGACCATAAATATGCCCAACTGAATTTTGATGGAAGTACAAAGGCAATTCAATGGGGGAAAGACAGCCTTTTCAGCAAATGGTGCTGGAGTAACTGGACACCCATAGACAAAAAAATAAAGAACCTTGACCTAAGCCTCACATTAATTCAAAATGACTCATGGACTTAAATGTAAAACATAAAACTATAAAACTCTTAGAAAAAACATAGGAGAAAATCTTCTAAATCTAGGGCTAGGCAAAGAGTTTTTAAACTTGACACCAAAAGCATAATCCACAGAAGGAAAAATTGATAAGCTGGACTTAACTGAAATTAAAAACTTTGGCACTGTGAAAGACTCTGTTAAGAGGATGAAAAGACAAGCCACAGACTAGGAGAAAATATTTGCAAACTATGTGTTTGACAAAGGACTAGTATCTAGAATATAAAAAGAACTCTCAAAACTCAACAGTAATAAAGCACATAATCCAATTAGAAAATAGGCAAAAGACATGAAGAAACATTTTACTGAAGATGATAGACTGTAAATAAGCCATGAAAAGATGTTTAACATCATTAACCATTAGGTAAATGTAAAGTGAAATGACAATATCACCACACATTTATCAGAATGGCTAAAATTAAAAATAATACCACCAGGGGCTGGCCTGGTGGTGCAAGCGGTTAAGTGCGCACGCTCCGCTGCAGCGGCCCGGGGTTCGCCAGTTCAGATCCCGGGCATGCACCAACGCACTGCTTGGCAAGCCATGCTGTGGCGGTGTCCCATATAAAGTGGAGGAAGATGG